ATTCTTCTGAGGGGAATTCTTCCGCTTGGTTATTTTGGATAGTCCCTGGCATGGTGAGGACCTGCAGGGCACTTCCCCTGTGCTGTGGTGTATAACTGGAGTTGGTGGGCGGGGCCACAGTCTGACCTGATGTCTGCCCCCAGCCCACCGCTGGGGCCACAGTCAGACTGGTGTGTGCCTTCTCTTCCCCTCTCCTAGGGGCGGGATTCACTGTGGGGTGGCGTGGCCTGTCTGGGCTACTTGCACACTGCCAGGCTTGTGATGCTGGGGATCTGGCGTCTTAGCTGGGGTGGGTAGGCAAGGTGCACAGGGGCAGCAGGGGCAGGCTTAGCTCGCTTCTCCTTAGGTGATCCACTTCAGGAGGGGCCCTGTGGCAGCGGGAGGGAGTCAGATCCGCTGCCGGAGGTTTGGCTCCGCAGAAGCACAGAGTTGGATGTTTGTGCGGAGTGAGCAAGTTCCCTGGCAGGAACCGGTTCTCTTTGGGATTTTGGCTGGGGGATGGGCGGGGGAGATGGCGCTGGTGAGCGCCTTTGTTCCCCACCAAACTGAGCTCTGTCGTCCGGGGGCTCAGCAGCTCTCCCTCCCTTTGTCCTCCAGCCTTCCTGCTTTCTGAGCAGAGCTGTTAACATATGACCTCCCAGCCGCTAAGTCGCGCTTGCTGTCGGAACACAGTCCGTCAGGCCCCTCCGCTTTTTGCAAGCCAGACTCGGGGGCTCTGCTTGGCCGGCGAGCCGCCCCTCCGCCCCGGCTCCCTCCCGCCAGTCCATGGAGCGCGCACCGCCTCGCCGCCCTTCATACCCTCTTCCGTGGGCCTCTCGTCTGCGCTTGGCTCCGGCGACTCCGTTCTGCTAACCCTCTGGTGGTTTTCTGGTTTATTTAGGCAGGTGTAGGTGGAATCTAAGTGATCAGCAGGACGCGCGGTGAGCCCAGCGTCCTCCTACGCCGCCATCTTCCCTCAACTCTCTACTGCTTTTTACCATGCTCTCCACCTTGGGAGACTGGCCTGTGGTCTGAAGTAGATTCCCTTTCCTCTCCAGCTGGGTTTAGCCTGCTGCAGCTTGGGCAGGCCATCAGAAGTAAAAGAGAGATAGATCAAAATACGTATTCCCATAGCTGTACTGCTGTGAGACTCCCTCAGGCCGGCTATATCCCTCAGCCTGAGCTCATGTTACCTCCCAGGACAGCTCTCTGGACTCTTTTCCTCTGGGGTCCAGCAACCATTCCCTTTGCACAACCTTCGGGCCAGGGATAGTAACAACCCACTGTTCCTAGCACTGGACACTACATTCTCCCTCATGGGTTCCCTAAACCTAACTGCACTTTGGAAATGATGCTTTTTAGTAAACCCCTCAAATCATCCCACCTGAGTGTATAATTTGCTTCCTGCTCAGACTGACACACCAAATATGATTCTGGGATTTTGATCTTGGATGGCTGTGAGGGTAGATGATACTATGAGCTGAGATAAGGAATACAGGAAGATGAGTATGTTCACATGTGGAAAGAAAAACCACATCTTGAAGTTGCTATATAACAACTGTGGATCATCCACAGACAGAGGTTGGCAGCAGCTGTAAAAGCAGACGTGGCATAAAGATGGAGATAAAAATTAATTTTGAGAAATTTGTAAGTACTGATCATTGCCATAAGCTCTAGCTTAAAATAGAGAATTCATTTAATTTAGGAGATGGAGTCAGCAAACTCTCTCTAAAATTACAGAACTGTAGAGCTTAAAAGGATGTTAATTGTCTTCTAGCTGAGCTCTCCTTTTCTGGGTGTTATAACTGAAGTCCACAGTTAGCCATCAAAGGGCTACTGTTAGTTAATGGCGGTGCTGGCGGTGGAGCTTCTGGGTTCTCCCATCTATGTGAGCTCTTTCCACAAAATTCAGCCTTTCCCTCAATTTTGCTGTTTCCCAGTAGTCATCAAGTATGGAGTACTTAGTCTGCACCCAGCTTTGTGCTAATTGACGTGAGGAATAATGCAGAAGTAAAACAGAATTCCAGCGGTTTACAGTCTTAATTGACTAAAATACAAATGTTTAGAAATGAGAGTGCTAGAGAGAAATGGCCTTTCACACTAAAGGAAAAGAGGACATTTTGTAGGACAGGGGCACTGTCATCCGGCATGATCACTTTGAGATTTTAGCAATTTCATGTGCATTGTTGGTGTGAGTGAGGAAGTAGTAACAGTTGGCTCAATTATTGCCCCAGCATTCAAGGATTGTCTAATTTATTCTATTTAAGCGTACAAATTTTTATTGTAGAATAACATGAAGCATAAAGATCTATAAATCTATTGGTCCCTATCTTTAGAGACCCTCCTTCTAAATGACAGCTTAAGTCCAAACACATTTTGGCAAATGAGAGAGCAGAAAATATATTCTTATTATTCACGCAAGTGTGAATTTATTGATGTATTATTATTATTTAGCTCTAAACATAAAGTGAGTAGGAGAGATGATGGTCTGAAAGCCTACACACCTCAACACTGCTCCTTAGAAATCACATATATTTTCTGCCCCCTGTTTATGATTGCTGTATATAATTCTAAACAATGCTGAGAAACCTCTTAGTAGGAATTGAAACTGGATTGCTATCATTATTCTATTTTCACATGCTCATAACTTTCTCAGCAGCATTTATCAATGCTGAGAAATGACCTGCTTGGGCTATTATAAAGGGAAAATTCCTTTAAGTCTGAAGAGCTGTTATCAATTTGGGAGTTACTGCTGGAAGAAAAAGGTGATGTCTACATAGGCAGTTGAAATGATCTATATTTATCTTAAGGATGAAACTAGTTTATTTTGTAAATTACAACTAACAATTGCTTCACAAATTTTCTTGTTTTCCACCTGCTATGTCTATATAATTTCAGGCTTTGGCAAGTGGAAGAGATAAAAAGGTGATAATTCCCCAAGTGTGAGCCGGGGGCGGGGGGAAGAGAAAGAGGGGTCTAATGGATTAATAATTAAGAAGGAAAAACCTCAACAGAGAAGAAGCAATTGTCCTCAAAGACATTTACCCAAGGCATCTGGTCCACACAAAACTCATACCATTGAAAAGGTGGACTAAGTTAACACATTTCCCTGTGTAACTGGTGTTACAAGCTCAAATATCTTCAGGGACAGGCAGTTAATCTGAAATTGCAAAGCAGCCAAGTCTTAGAGTTATGAGGACAATAACTACCTGCAAAGTAGAGGCTCCACCCAAGGCCTCATGTGTGTGCATGTGTGTGTGTGTGTTCACAAACTATGGGCTAAACAAAGAATGGCTGTAGGCTGAATTATGCCTGTTTACCACTGTTTTGTGATGCCCATTTTAGACACATTAAATTGAATGCTTCTTTCTATGTTTCACTTTGTGGAGATTTTTCTTTTTTTTTTCTTGTAATTTTTTTTTTCACATTTTTGAGAGACAGAGTGAGACAGAGAGTGAGCAGAGGTGGGGAAGAGACAGAAGGAGACACAGAATCTGAAGCAGGCTCCAGGCTCTCAGCAAGCATTCAGCAGAGAGCCCGATGCAGGGCTCGAACCCAGGAACCATGAGATCATGACCTGAGCTGAAGTCGGACACTTAACTGACTGAGCCACCCAGGCACCTTGACTTTGTGGAGATTTTTCATTCCTTAGGCCAGCTAGTTTGGGACATTTCATTATTGCTATGGTCTCAGTGTTGTGTCCGCCTCAAATTTGTATGTTGAGATCCTAACCCCCCAAAAAAAGATGGTATTAGGAGGTGGCGCCTTTAGGGAGGTACTTAGGTCATAAGGGTGGAGCCCTCATGAGTAAGATTAATGTTTTTATAAAAGAGGCCACGAAGAGAGCCCTAGCCCTTCCTCCATGTTTGAACATAGTGAAAAGGTGCTGGCTATGAGCCAGGAGGAAGGCCTTTACCCAACCATGCTGGTACCTGACCTTGGGCTTTCCAGCCTCCAAAAACGTGAGAAATAAATTGTTGTGGTTTATAAGTCACCCGTCTATGGTATTTTGTTATAGCAGCCCAAACAGACGAAAACAGTTATCAATCTTTCCCTTTATTTTCAACTTTATAAGAAAAATCAGTTTTTATAAGAAAAAGTCAGAAAGTTTCCTGGGTGAAAGTGAATATATGATGATTCATTTCCTAGGAATTGAAAGAAAGGAATTTCAGCAACTGCATCTCTTGTCTTCTAAAGTCTTTCCACTTCTACACAAAACACAAGGGGAGAGATTTCATGAGATTCTAGCTGCTTAGAGCAGCTCATTGATAAAAATCAGGTATAATCAAGATTACCTAAGAAAAACTGACATCTTAAACACTGAGAACTGAACTGCAAAGCAAAGGATTATCTTAGTTTCACTCTGCAGGTAAAAAAACAAAACGCCAGTAACTAAATGTTGGTCTTATCTTGTAGTCCCTCCATGAACCACAGTTTTGATTTTATGTTCACCCAAGCATATTAAGGGGAGACAGGATGTCTGCACAACACAGCTCAATTATCTGTTTTTCTGTACTACAGCATTCATCATTATGGGAAGGAAAATTTGGCTCAGATGATGCTCGTATCTTATACCAATACTGGTGTAACGAAACAGTGTAAGTTTACTCCCACAGCCCATAATTCAACTACTAAATTACTACATGTACAGCTCATGAACAAGAAATTCTACATAAAAACTGTTACTAATATGAAGAGTTTTTGCTTATGCATTTTCAAAATATGGATTTAACAGGTTTTTTTCTTACTCATGCATTTTTAGATACTAAAGTACATCCCACTTTTCCCCCTCAGTACAATACGAATTATGATAGAATTTATGACAGAATTTATCCATGGACGGCTTTTCAAAGCCAGACTATAATTAGGTTAAAAATACATAATAGGCACATGGACAAAGACTGGAAATCAATTTTTAAATGCACAAAATTGCAAAAGTTGAATTACAGGTGACTTTTCATTATTAAACATTGTATTATTGTGTAAATTCAATGGAAGTTATTTAAAGCTCAGGTACTTACTGTGGTTGGAAAATAACGACTCGTTTTGAATTTTTTCAGAGCCATAGAAGAGGTGTAGGTGCCCAAGAAGAGGATGAAAGACATGAGAGTGATGTCAGGAACAAAATCACAGTTGTTCCCCACGAGCTTTCCTCCGTATTTCAAACACTTCTTCGTCGACAAAAATGCCCAGTCAAAGGTAGCATTATGGTACTGAAGAAGAAAAACATGAACATTTTTCTAGAGAACACCAATGCATCAAAAGCAGCATTTGATACTTGATGGGCTATGTAGGGATTAGGCTGAAAGTCTCTGTAGAACAGCTGGAGGGTAACCACTGGAGGGTGAAACTTGACGAAGTGTTAATGGAATAACTGGTACTGGGGGGCCAGGAGGCTAGCAATTACTGAAAACACAATGAAAATGATGCCATCTCTTACCTAGTTTGAGCTACAGCCCTACAATCATCCATTTGTTCAACAGAAACAAACCACAAAGTCCTTCTTTCCTGTCAACCTTCCTGAGAGTAAACTGAGACACATTAATATCCTAAGTCTCAAAATGTGAGACTCTCTAAAACACCTTTATTGTTTAAAAAGTACTTACTTTTGCAATACACAGCTTCTTTGGATTCAAGCGGCCCTATGGTTAATGCTCTCTAAAAGTCATATTAGCTTAACTATGCATCTACCCAGCACTTTCCCAAGGAGCTATTTCTTTTCTAAATAACTAGAGACTGGTGATTTAAGGAATTAGACTATAAAAAATACTGATGGTCCCTGCTTTTTCAACTGAATACCTTAATAAAATAGAACTTTTTATCTTGTGGGCTTCAGGTGAACAGCATGTACACCCAGTACTGGAACATACTAGAATGGGCTTTGGAGTCCTGTGTGGCATATCCCTATGGTACATGACCTCAAGCTCATGGGTCAATTTTCAAATTTTCTTCTATCTCATGAATTGCTGTCATGTTGTCAGTACTTCTTGAGAACAGCTAACTCCTGTTCCTATTTTCTGTTTCTAATATGCAGGAGAATCCTTTTGCTAGCACACTGGATTAGACCAAGGTACTCATCCCCCAGCGGCTCCCAGTCTTACCTACTTCTCTAGAGAACTACCTTCAGTCACATTAGAACTACCTCACCTAAAATGTTATGCCCTCTTGCAGCCAGTTACTGACCAACACTAATGTGGTGCTACAAAATTCCCCTAAATATGTTGAAAATCATACGTGATGCCGTTTGGGAAGTGATTAGGCCATGAGAATGATTAGGCCATGAGAATGATGTCTTTATGAATGAGATTCATGTTTTTATAAAACAGACCCCAGAGAGCTCCCTTGTCTCATCTGCCATATGAAGACACAATGAGAAGAAGGCTGTCTATGAACCAGGAAGTGTGTGGGTCCTCATCAGACACTGAATCTGCCAGCACTGTGATCCTGAACTTTCTCTTAGGTCCAGGGCTAATGAGTATGTCATGTGCTAACAGAAGGTTTATTTGAGAATACCTTGCAAATAAATAGGGAAAGATAAATTTCTCCTGTCCTTTGGAAGCAAGAGTTCTACCTCATACCAAACTCATCATCAACATTCTTTACTATTCAATGAATTCTCTTGATGTTAAGTAACCTAGTCATAAAAGTTCACACGTGCAAAAGAAGAATCTCGGACCAGAAATTGTTCATATTTTTATAGAGCTCAAAAGGTAAAGTGCTTACATAAGTCAATAAAAAAAATAAACTCTAGGTCTTTCCCTGAAATATTTTTTCTATATTAGCTTCAACTTATAAACAGCTGAACCACATAATTATTCTTTTATCAAATGCCAATTTTGAGAGGTGATTTAATCATGTCTCATCTTGTTTTTCAGATTTCTGCATATGGATGTTTTTAGAAGAACACATTTAAAGTTTAGGGGTCATAATAGGTAACAGATTTCTTTGTTTTCAGATCAGCAAAAATTTACCATTGTAAATTTGCCTATGTAAATTTACCATAATATCATTTCAGCACTTTAATATGAGCAGAACCCTTTTTTATAGCCCAAAGAAGTAAGCTGCGTTAAGACAATCAATCCCAACAGACAGTTTTTATTGATTTTCTTACAGAGATTCAGGTTGAGGTGAAAAAATATACAGATATACATAAAATGATAGATATGTTTTCTCATGTACATCAACTCAAAATGCCAATATCACTATTTTTTTGGCCTCAAATGATTCCCTATATCATCATACAGAAAGTTTAGCCTCCCAACCATCTAAGGACTTTAGTATAAAGTTTAGGCAGCACGTCCAGATCTCTCAGTATATATATATACACTTTTCCCACTTCCATAAAACTTTAAATCTAGCTAATAAATAATTCTATTTAAACATCACTGGAGAGGAACCTATATTATCTGTGTTACTTCAGTGTTATTATTACTCTACATAAACTCGTATCATTGAAGGTTAACTTCATAAAACTTCAGGCAAGATTCAGATAACAAACAAACTAGACATTAAGACAAAGCATTACTCATCTATTAGTGGTGTAGAATTTTAAATACGCAAAGTAGAATTTTAAATAATTATCTGATAATTTAATCATCACAGATACAATTTCTATTATTTTTTACTCCAATATATCTCATTTTGTTATCTATGAAACATACACATTTCAGTAAAAATGATATGTTTTACTTCAGAGGTACACTCTGCTTTGCCTATGTAAAGGGAACATAAAAAAAGAAAACTACAGATTTTAGTTACTACTTTCTATAATCCAATAGTTTTCTTTTTTTTTTTTAGACTCTAGCCAGGCTTCTCAAAAAGAAACGGGAGATGACCCAAATAGATAAAATCATGAATGAAAATGGAATTATTACAACCAATCCCTCAGAGATACAAACAATTATCAGGGAATACTATGAAAAATTATATGGCAACAAATTGGACAACCTGGAAGAAATGGACAAATTCCTGAACACCCACACTCTTCCAAAACTCAATCAGGAGGAAATAGAAAGCTTGAACAGACCCATAACCAGCGAAGAAATTGAATCGGTTATCAAAAATCTCCCAACAAATAAGAGTCCAGGACCAGATGGCTTCCCAGGGGAGTTCTACCAGACGTTTAAAGCAGAGATAATACCTATCCTTCTCAAGCTATTCCAAGAAATAGAAAGGGAAGGAAAACTTCCAGACTCATTCTAATCCAATAGTTTTCAAATTTTATTATCAGTGAAATATCTTTTCATGTGGAACCCCAATATTTAAAACTGTGATAAAACTGAGATATTCGGCCCTATTTATTTAGGAGGGATTGGGCTGCACTTTCTCACTACCCCTGGCCCACCTAAAGGCAGACCCTGAGTCCCCTCTCTTGGGAATTCTAGCTTAGTCTGAGCAGAATGTTACTTTAAAAACAATGCTGTCTCATTAAAAGTCACCTATCTATATCTATCATTTATAATTATAATTTATCTGAAATTACCATGAGTAGTTTAATCCAGGACTGAACAAACTATATCCCATAGGCCAAACTCAGCCTGACTCCTGTTTTTATGAATAAAGTTTTACTTAAACACAGTAATGCTCATTTCTTTACATAATGTTCATTACTATATTTGTGCTACAACTGCAATGCTGAGTAATTTCAACAAAGACCAGATATCTGACCCATAAATCCTAAAAAGTATACTAACTGATCCTTTACAGAAAAAGTATCTGCCCTGGTTTAATTTCTTGCCTAAGACTCCTATATTACTTTCTACTATCCTTATAAATAAATCTTTCATGTTTCATCATATTAGTACATTACACATTTTTATTTGATTTGTATTTTTTTATATTTGTATTATTATTTCATGGGTAGTGTTATTGATGTTGGTTGATTCACTGTAAAATTTTTTAAGACCCCACCCAAAAATTTCTAGAACCAATACATGAATTCAACAAAGTTGCAGGATATACAATCAATGTGCAGAAACCAGTTGCATTTATATACACTAATAATGAAGCAGCAGAAAAAGAAATCAAGGAATGGATCCCATTTGCAATTGCACCAAAAACAATAAGATACCTAAGAATAAACCCAACTAAACAGGTAAAATATCTATACTCTGAAAACTACAGAACACTTATGAAAGAAATTGTAGAGGACACAAAGAAATGGAAAAGCATTCCATGCTCATGGAATGGAAGAACAAACATTGTTAAACTGTCTATACTATCCAAAGCAATCTGCACATTTAATGCAATCCCTATCAAAATACCACCAACATTCTTTACAGAGTTATAACAAACAATCCTAAAATTTGTATGGAACCAACAAAAGATGCCAAATAGCCAAAGCAATCCTGAAAAAGAAATGCAAAACTGGAGACATCCCGATTCCAGACTTCAAGCTAATTACAAAGCTGCAATCATCAAGACAGTATGACTCTGGCACAAAAACAGACATATAGATCAATGGGACAGAACAGAAAACCCAGAAATGGACCCCCAACTATATGGTCAACTAATCTTCAACAAAGCAGGAAAGAATATCCAATGGAAAAAGGCAGTCTCTTCAACAAATGGTGCTAGGAAAACTGGATGGTGACATGCAGAAGAATGAAACTGGACCACTTTCTTAGACCATACACAAAAATAAATTCAAAATGGATAAAAGACCTAAATGTGAGATAGGAAACCAACAAAATCCCAGAGGAGAACAAAGGCAGCAACTTCTTTGACCTTGGCCAGAACAACTTCTTACTAGATATGTCACCAAAGGCAAGGGAAACAAAAGCAAACACAAAGTATTGGGATTTCATCAAGATAAAAAGCTTCTGTATAGTGAAGGAAACAACAAAACTAAAAGGCAGCCTACATAATGGGAGAAGATTATTTGCAAATCACATATCTGATAAAGGATTAGTATCCAAAACTATAAAGAACACATCAAACTCAACACCCCAAAACCAAACAACCCAGTTAAGAAATGAGCAGAAGACATGAATAGTCAGTCAGAGAAAGACAGATATCACATAATTTCACTCATATGTGGAATTTAAGACACTTAACGGATGATCATAGAGGAAGGGAAGAAAAAATAAGATAAAAACAGAGAGGGAGGCAAACCATAAGAGACTCTTAAATACAGAAGACAAACTGAGGGTTGATGGGGGTAGGGGGGTGTTGAAAATGGGTGGTGGACATTAAGGAGGGCAGTTATTTGGAT